CGCAAGTACATATATGTGGGTGCTTGTTAGAGAACAAGTTCACTGAACATGACCGTATGAAAATTCTTAATGAAAGATTTATCTTGTCGAATAAGAATTTTCATGTTACAACAGTACATGATTGATCCTTAGACTTGAGGCACAATGGTAACTTTGTGCATATTACATTCTACTTTGATTTATCGTTTTGGTTGCTAGCACAATCTTATAAAGGGATATTTTGGGTATTATGTTAATATGTATGGAAGTTTGTTAGTGGCCAACAAAGGATTCGACACTTATGAAGATAAGTGAATTTCCTATGTGTTTCATAGTTAGTAATTCAAAGTCCTTGTCCAAGGCGGGATGAATGGAGATTCGTACACGAATTACTAAACTTGAAATAGAATCATAGTTATTAAATCAATTTGGGTTTCGACAAAATCGTACCCAAAGATTTAATCGGGAAATTAGATGTCGAAAGGATTTTACATGTATGTAATTGTAATTGAAATAGGTTTACTCGCTATTCACTTAATACTAGATTCATGCTACTTGCTAGGTGTTCCCATGATATGTGGGTTCATGAATTAAGGGGTTAATTCATGAATAAGAGTTAATAAAGATGAACTCAAATTACAAAGAGTTGTAAACCCACTACTATTATTAATAGTGAACCTAAAAGGTCACACCAATTTTTGAATGATGGTAAAATTCAATTAGTAATTCTAAAGAGTTAGAATTAATTGACTAGTCTAATTTGATTAGATGTCAATTTAAAGGAATATATATATTTAATCAATGAGATTGATTAAATGTATTTTTGGATATTAATTTAGTAATTAATGGAATTACTAATTAATATTTGGAATTTAAAATAGGATTTTAAAATTTCAAATCCAAATAATAATATGATTATTAAATAAGGAAATTGGAAGAAATGATTAAAATAATAAAGTCTTGAAAAATGATTTCAAGAATTATTATTTTAATGTTTTATTATTTTATCTTTAATATGATTAAAGATTAAAAATAATTGTGAATATAATAAATGGTGGTTAAGAGATGTTAGGGAACCACTATAAATTGTTTATTATATAAAAGTCAATAGTTAGTAAATCATATTTAAATAAAATCTGATTTTATTTAAATATTACTAATTATTGATTATTTTATACTAAAAAGTTTAGTATAAATATGTGTAAAGAGTTTACAAAATAAGCTAAGTTATTTTGTAAGTTTTCTTCCAAAGTTTTCAAGTGTTGAAAAGAGAGAAAAGAAGAAAGTGTTCTTCATAATCTAAATCAAGAAAGAGTTCTTGAATTTAGAATTTAGTTCTTGAGAAAATTTTACAAAAGAGTTTGTAAAATAAATTCAATAGTTGAATTAATTTTCTAAAACAAGAAAGGGTTCTTGTTTTGAGAAAAAGATTTGATCTAAGTTCTCAAGAAGATATATTCAAGTGTTGAATAATCTCTCAAAATTACAAGAAAGAGTTCTTGTAAATTTCCTCAAATAAATTTTTTTACTTGTTGAAATAAACCGAGACGTTTCTACTAGCGAAGAAGTTGTCGTCGGAACCGGACTTCAAAAGGTGGATACGTTTAGAGGGAAGACACGTGGATTCCTAAGCGAGTAACCACAAGCACAAGAAAGAAGTGAAGTGACGTTACCAATCCGAGAATCGATTCCCTCAATCCATCTTCGATTTTGAAGGAGTTCAAGATCAACGGTAATTATTGTATTTACTATTAAACAAATCAAAATTTGTATTACTACATGTTTTTAAAGATGACGATCTGTTAATTCGCCATATTTATATACGAGTTATGTATTTAAGTGTTAAATACATGTTTTTGAAAAATTTTAAATTCTGCTGCGTATAGCTCGTACGGTACAGGCGAACCCAACGGTGGTATCAGAGCCACGGTTATCATCTTTAAAAACAAATTTTGATTTGTTAATGTTTATATGATAAACAAGATAATTATAATGTTTATGTGATAAACAAGATAATTAAATGTTTATGAGATAAACATATTAATTATTAAAATAAAATAAAAAAAATAAAAAAAAAAAAGTTTTTTTCAAGGAGCCCAGAGCTGATACGGGTGGTGACACGGGCTGCCAGCCCGTGTCGGAGGCCGTGTCAGGTGACACGACCCCTGACACGGGCCGTGTCAGGTTAAGTTACAAAATTGATATTCAAAGTTGCTCTCGGCATTTTGACACGATCCCTGACACGGGCGTGTCATAGGCCGTGTCAGGTGACACGACCTCTGACACGGGCCGTGTCAGGTGCAATGAGCCTATCA